TTTTTACCAATTAGTATTATTGAATGATATATTAGAACTTTGGCAAAATAGAAAAATTAATACTGAATATTATATAAGAATTACTCGTAGTACTAATGCTTGGGCTTTACAACAATTAGAAGAGTGTAATAATAAAATAAATCAAACCCAGAATTTAATTAATGAACAGATTTGCTGTTTGGCAAGGGCCAAGCGGCCTCCTCCTCCAGCACAGTAAATTTATGGACTATATATGATGTAATTAATTATAAATAAAACAAAACTATTTTACATGCTATTCCTGGATTTGTGCCGTTGAGAGGTAGCATAGTGTGAGGTTAAGTGGGACGTCACCCAAGTCGCGTAGTGCCAGTGTCCGTCTAGCGGTTAGCAGTAAGGACCTTTTGGTAACGTAAGTCGTTGACAGACGTGCTTAGCCTGTACCCTGTGTCGAGCCCTAGTTTTGCAAGTTTCAACAACTCGCATTGGTCCCTCCCGAGGTGTTTGAGGTGTTTCCCGGGCCGACTCGTGGTTGTTTCACGATTTTGGCCTCCGATGGCCTATTTTTGTAGCTTAAGTGTGAAAAAGTGAATTTTTGGACTTAGTTTTCAAACCGGGAGTCCCGTGCTAGTTTCGTAAGTTTTCACAACTCACATTGGTCCCTCCCGAGGTGTTTGAGGTGTTTCCTGCGCCGACTCATGGCTGTTGCATGATTTTCACCTCCGATGGCCTATTGTTGAAGCTTAAGTGTAAAAAATCCATTTTTGGACTTAGTTTTCGAACCGGTAGTCCCGTGCTAGTTCCGTAAGTTTCCACAACTTACTTTGTTCCCTCCCGAGGTGTTTGAGGTGTTTCCCAGGCCGTCTCGTGGTTGTTGCGTGATTTTGGCCTTCGATGGCCTAGTTTTGAAGCTTAAGTGTGAAAAAGTGCATTTTTGGACTTAGTTTTCGAACCGGGAATCCCGTGCTACTTCCATAAGTTTTCACAACTCACATTAGTCCCTCCCGAGGTGTTTGAGGTGTTTCTCAGGCTGTCTCATGCCTGTTGCACGATTTCGACCGTCGAAGGCCTATTTTCAAACTTAAGTATGAAAAAGTGCATTTTTGGGCTTAGTTTTCAAACCGGGAGTCCCGTGCTACTTCCGTAAGTTTTCATAACTCACATTGGTCCCTCCCGAGGTGTTTCCCAGGCTGTCTCGTGGCTGTTCCACGATTTCGCCCGTCAAAGGCCTATTTTCAAGCTTAAATGTGAAAAATTGCATTTTTGGACGTAGTTTTCAAACCGAGAGTTCCGTGCTAGTTCTGTAAGTTTCACAAACTCGCATTGGTCCCTCCCGAGGTGTTTGATAAGAATGAATGAATGGGCCGAAGACCATTTTGACATGAATGAATGGGCCGAAGGCCGTTTTGATATGAATGAATGGGCCGAAGGCCATTTTGACAAGAACAAATGATTGGGTCGATGGTCGATTGACATAAATGATTGGGCCAAAAGCCGATTGACATGAATGATTGGGAAGAAGGCCGATTGACATGAATGATTGGGTAGAAGGCTGATTGACATGAATGATTGGGCCGAGGCCGATTGACATAAATGGTTGGGCCAAAGGCCGTTTTGACACAAATGAACGTTTGACATGCATGAATGGGCCAGAGGCCAGTTTGACATGCATGAATGGGCCAGAGGCCAGTTTGAAAGGCCTAAAGGCCAGTTTGATATCAAAGTTTGAAAGGCCTAAAGGCCAGTTTGACACGAATAACAGTTTGACACGAATAACAATTTGACACTAATGAATTGGGCCCAAGGCCGTATGATGTATTTGGAACTGCAGTTACTTAACTTACATATGTCTATGCATGTATGTATTAGTAGAAATATAAATTGGGCCCAAGGCCATTTGATGTATATTGTTCCAATGTATATTCTTTATTTGATATTATTCACTGGGTTTTTGCTCATGCTCATTCATGTGTTTGTAGGTGAGCCAAGAGAAGTCCAAACCCAGCCCCAGTGAAGTCTGTATGGAACAACTAAGGTTTGAAGAGTCAGCCCTTGCGTCTCATGCACGAGACACGTCTTCGCCCTTCTGTCATTCTATGTTATTTTGTCATGTTGGCGAGGACTTTGGTGTACGTCTGTATATAGCTTTGTTTTGGCTGACTTAAATTTGAATGATCCTGTCTGTATAGAACTTTATGTTACTATACGTTCTATTGTGAGTTACTAACATATGTATGTATGGAATGTTATGATGTGCATATAAGCACGGCTCCATGGACAAAGTTTTAAATTTGCTTCCGATTTGGCCCCTTTACTTTGATGAGTTTTGTCTTATTTTGTTTGAGGACGTAGGTAATTTCGTGATTACTGGCCGGTTATGGCCTTAACCCAAGGGGGCGGGTTTGGGTCGTGACAGTCTCGTTGCTGTTTCATGATTTTGGCCTTCGATGGCCTATTTTTAAAGCTTAAGTGTGAAAAAGTGCATTTGTGGACTTAGTTTTTGAACGGGGAGTCCCGTGCTAATTCTGTAAGTTTCCACAACTTACTTTAGTCCCTTCCAAGGTGTTTGAGGTGTTACCCGGGCCGTATCGTGGCTGTTAGACGATTTTGGCCTATGATGGCCTATTTTTCAAGCATAAGTGTGAAAAAGTGTATTTTTGGACTTAGTTTTCAAACCGAAAGTCCCGTGCTACTTCCGTAAGTTTCCACAACTCACATTGGTCCCTTCCGAGGTGTTTGAGGTGTTTCCCGAGTCGTCTCGTGGCTGTTGCACAATTTTGGCCTCCGATGGCCTATTTTTGAAGCTTAAGTGTGAAAAAGTACATTTTTGGACTTAGTTTTTAAAACCGGGAGTCCCGTGCTCGTTTCGTAAGTTTCCACAACTCGAATTGGTCCCTCCCGAGGTGTTTGAGGTGTTTCTTGGCTCGACTCTTGGCTGTTGCATGATTTTCGCCTCCGTTGGCCTATTTCTAAAGCTTAAGTGTGAAAAAGTCCATTTCTGTACTTAGTTTTCGAACCGGGAGTTCCGTGCTAGTTCCGTAAGTTTTCACAACTTAATTTGTTCCCTCTCAAGGTGTCTGAGGTGTTTTCGGGGCCGTCTCGTGGCTGTTGCATGATTTTGGCCTCCGATGACCTATTTTTCAAGCTTAAGTGTGAAAAAGTGCATTTGTGGACTTAGTTTTCGAATCGGGAATCCCGTGCTAGTTCCGTAAGTTTCAACAACTTACATTGGTCCCTCCCGAGGTGTTTGAGGCGTTACTCGGGCCGTCTCGTGGCTGTTACACCATTTTGGCCTCCGATGGCCTATTTTTCAAGCTTAATTGTCGCTGAAAGTGCATTTTTGGACTTAGTTTTCAAATCGGGAGTCCCATGCTAGTTCCATAAGTTTGCACAACTCACATTTGTCCCTCCCGAGGAGTTTGAGGTGTTTCCCAGGCCGTCTCGAGGCTGTTGCACGATTTCGGCTCCTGAAGGCTTATTTTCAAACTTAAGTGTGAAAAGTGCATTTTTGGATTTAGTTTTCAAACCAGGAGTCCCGTGCTAGTTCCGTAAGTTTCCACAACTTACTTTGGTCCGTTCAGAGGTGTTTGAGGTGTTATCCAGGCCGTCTCGTGGCTGTTACACCATTTTGGCCTCCGATGGCCTATTTTTCAAGTTTAATTGTCGCTTAAAGTGCATTTTTGGACTTAGTTTTCAAACCGGGAGTCCCGTGCTAGTTCTGTAAGTTTTCACAACTCACATTTGCCCCACCCGAGGTGTTTGAGGTGTTTCCTGGGCCGTCTCATGGTTGTTGCACAATTTCGGCCCCCAAAGGCCTATTTTTAAGCTTAAGTGTGAAAAAATACATTTTTGGACTTCGTTTTCAAACCAGGAGTCCCGTGCTAGTTCCGTAAGTTTCCACAACTCACATTGGTCCCTCTCGAGGTATTTGGGGTTTTTCTCGAGCCGTCTCGTGGTTGTTGCATGATTTTGGCCTCCGATGGCCTATTTTTAAAGCTTAAGTGTGAAAAAAGGTATTTTTGGACTTAGTTTTCAAACCAGGAGTCCCATACTAGTTCCGTAAGTTTCCACAATTTACTTTGGTCCGTCCTGAGGTGTTTGAGGTATTACCCAAGCCGTCTCGTGGCTGTTACACGAGTTAGCCCTCCAATGGCTTATTTTCAAGCTTAAGTGTGAAAAAGTGCATTTTTGGACTTAGTTTTCAAACCTGGAGTCCGGTGCTACTTCCGTAAGTTTCCATAACTTACATTGGTCCCTCCCATGGTGTTTGAGGTGTTCCGCGGGCTGTCTCGTGGATGTTACACGATTTTGGCCTTCGATGGCCTATTTTCAAGCTTAAGTGTAAAAAAATATATTTTTGGACTTAGTTTTCAAACTAGGAGTCCCGTGCTAATTCTGTAAGTTTCCACAACTTACATTGGTCCCTCCTGAGGTGTTTGAGGTGTTCCCTGGTCCGTCTCGTGGCTGTTGCACGATTTTGGCCCCCGATTGCCTATTTTGAAGCTTAAATGTGAAAAAGTGCCTTTGTCGACTTAGTTTTCAAACCGGAAGTCCCGTGCTAGTTCTGTAAGTTTTCAAAACTTACGTTGGTCCTTCCCGAGGTGTTTGAGGTGTTGCCGGGCCGTCTCGTGGCTGTTGCACGATTTTGGCCCCCGATGGCCTATTTTCAAACTTAAGTGTGAAAAGTATTCTTCGTTATTATGAACTATGAATCACATGTTAGCCTTGTGTCCTAAAAGCCAATCTAAAAACCATTTGTAATTTCTACCTGGTAATATTGCTGCATTCGAAATAGTATATTTGAAAATGATTATAAAATATCAAAAAAATAATAGCAATTAATAATATAATGGTGCAGAGGATGCATTTCATATAATTGAACCTTGTAATGATTTTGGTTTCCAAGGATGCTAAAAGAGGAGTTGAGCTCGCATCGGAGTATACTCAAATATGGAACGATTAACTTAATCTTCTACACAACTGGAACCATACATAGCCCATAAGAGAATAAAATTTGATATCATCAAAACACAATAATGGACCTAAAGAGGAAATTAGCATGAAAATTGAAGAATAGTATTCCACAACCATTTTCTTACAGAAAAAAATGACATGTGTACATGTACGACTTACCAACCTAGAAAATAATGAAACGTGTGCAGTAGGCCCTATATGTATACATGGTGCTTGTGTGGATCCACAATGAGAGATGAAGAAAACCAGTGCAATTCTCTGTAATGTCACCAGCACCACCAACCTATTAAAAGGATAACCATTCTACAATTGAACAAACACCTCAACCAAAATTTATTTCTGCAGCCAAATAGAACAAATAAATCAATAGACCAGACTCAATTTATGTCAAGAAATTAATTAATTATGAAAAATAAGATAAAAATTGCAGGTTCTAGAGGATCAAGAGATTCATCATAAAAACATAGAACAATTGAGTAAACATTACCAAGAACATTAAATGAAGGAAAGGTAATTATGAGACCAGTTAAATAATTCAATGGAGAAAAAAATTGAGTGAACATTACCCCGAGCATTAAATGCATGAACTCAACTATTTACGAAGAACAATTGCCAAATGACTTTGGATCTCATCATGTTCACTTGAGACCTTGGAATCCAAGACCGTGGAGCCAAACACCTGACAAAAGATCAAAAAGAACCAAATGAGCTGCAGAGACATTGTAATGTTGGAACAATGTATAAACCAATACATTTAAACTGGTCCAGAGCATTAGTACCAACAATATGTGCTAATCCCATTTGGTATTTAATCCTCTCTATTCATGACCTACATACAAAGAATTCAGATAATCTCTAGAGAACTATATGGCAACAAAGAAAGAAAACAGAGAATGTTGGTGAGGGGACTGCAACAATGCAGACAATATTATGCATAATTGAATCAATGTATATCAATAAAATTTGACACATTAGATGCTAGAATCTCTCACAAGATAGAGCAAAATGGAATGTTGTCATAGGGAACAGTGTAGCTGACAGCTACAAGCTAGCATTCATTACAATGGTCAAGTATACATTTAGCGGGTTTAGACTTAGGGGGGTCGGGCCTTTTCTCTTTAGCCTTTGGTGGACCAACACCAATGAGATCTGCTACCTTTCTGGTCTTCCTCACTTGGGTTGCAACTAAAACAGGATCAACATTCCCAATAACGGTTAGTATCCCCTTCTCACTATGCACCAATATCTGATCAATGCATGTTCATTCAAAATATATATAGCATCATTTTACACATGTCATAGTTCAAAACATAGTAAATTTTGACAAACTTGTCAACCCATTCTTCATACCTTGAAGTTTAGTGACGACTTCAATATATTGCTTTTGCACTTATAGCAGTGAATGTTGACTTTCACCTCTATTTTCTGCATAGAAATGCAAAGAACAAGAGACGTGAATTTGAAAGAACTAGAATGAATAATAGTGAAATTTCACTAAAACTAGGCCTTACCTTCACCTCCATGGCAACGAAAATGATCAAATTGAACTATATGTTCCCTCAATCTAGGATTAATGTTGGAAACCTATTTGTAGGAGTAGGACTATAAAAAATAATAATAATAATTAAATAAAAAAATGTCAACTTAGTAAATTGTTTGACGGTGATTATTTTCTTGAAGAAGGGTTCAAATCCTCCTCCCGAACAGCTCATGGTATTTTAGTAATGTAGACAAAGAAGTGAATTCCACAGGCCAATTCTTCCTAGGATATGTACTCAAACAACAAAATTAAGGTCACTAATGTCAATGGAGAGAGAGAGAGAGAGAGAGAAAGAGAGAGAGAGAGAGAGAGGGATTTTGACAATTCCATTATATGTATTTTATACCTTTTTACAACAAAAAAAGGGGGATAGGATTGAATCTGATTTGAAAGATTGGCATCTGCTAACAAACCACCACAAATCAGTACTTCAAAAAAGTCCATCAATAAATTATAATCTCTCTATGATATTTGCATCAGCAGATACTATCTTTTGGATTGGTTAAATAATGTTATTATAGTTTCAATTGAATGGATTTGAATGAAATAACTCCACAATTATAGCTATTTGAAATGATCAAGATATATATAAAACTAAACATTTTCCCAAACATTTGCAAAAATTTGTCGCCTAAATGTGTTTTTATCAAAGACCAAAATGCACAAACCATTCACACTAAATTGAAGACAAGCTTTGGTATAATCATTATAAACAAATTGCAGACAATAATACCATGCTTAATTGAAGCAATGTATATACTAGTACACAAAAATTATTAAAATTTGAACACATCAGATGCCATATTCTAGAGACCACACACAAATACGTGTATGGGCAAAAATCTCATGATCGAATGCCTCAAAGAAACCTCATCAAGAATGGACAACAAGAACGCTAACTCAATTTCCTTTCTGTTATTAAGATTTCTAAAGAAATTCAAATTCCAACAAAGACATATAGGATGAAACCATAGAGACAAATAGACACCCGATAAGTGTAACAACCCTCACCACTGTTCACCGATAAACTACCGATTACTGCTAAACTGAGACTGATTATGAAAAGTAATTGAACTGATTGAAATACTGAACTGACCGACTGAAATCTGAAACTGATTGATTGATTGTATCTGTTTAAATGCATTATCTATCTGTTTGACTATTTGATTATCTGTTTATGTTTTTATGTTTAAACTGCCAATTGAAGGCCTTATCGGCAGTCGAACCAGAAATTGATTAGTGTTTCATGATTAGTAGAATTTATGTGATTTTATGGCATATTTATCTGAAATGTGTTTTGGTATGATTAAATTGGTTGAAGTAAAGCTAATTAAAGAGTTAGGCTTATCTATAACTTTGCTATTGTGAGTGGGTCACTTCATGAACTATATTTGAGCCTTATTATACACTTAGGCAAACATTTCATCAGCTCATCTCCCTTGCCTTAGCCGACCAAGAGAGAGAGAGGGAGAGGAATTGAATTGTCCTTGTTGATTTGTTTAGAAACTTGAAGGAATTGAAGGTTGATTTCAAAATTATGCTTTCATTCTTGAACTACAAGACCTAAGGTAGTGTAACTACCCTCTTGTTTGTGAATACAATTGATTCTTGCATGGTTTTAGAGCAAGTTGAAGTCTAGAGCCAAGTTATGGCTCTTAATTGTTGAATTATAGCTTAATTCATGCATGCATGTTTGTATTTTTGCATTTTAAGTTGTTTTCATGGAAAAATGTTACATACATGTTCATATTATGTTTAAGTCCATGATTTCATCTTGTTTTGAAAAGAATTGGCTCTTTAGAGCAAGTGTTCAAAGCTTGAAAATGATTTAAGTTCATGCATGTTGCATGTTCATCTTATTCATGAAAATTGGTTTGAAATTGGATTTATTTGAACTACCTTTGGGTTTTGATTTTTACAATTGAGTTTTGAATCATGTTAAGCTATGAGTTTTGAGGAGTTTTCTAGAAAATTAGCCCAAGGGGATTGGTTTTGATACATTTGAACTCGATTTTGAGCTTGAGGGTCGAATCTGAGAATTCCAGATTTTGAACTCACGCTCGAGCGGGGTGACTGGCGCTCGAGCGTGGAAATCGTGCTCCCAGCATTTTGTTCTGTTTTTGAGTCAGCTCGAGCGGGGTAATTTACGCTCGAGCGGGACCTTGTGTTTACGCTCGAGCGGGTGTCGAGCGCCCAATCGAGCGTGAATGTCACCTATCCAGCACTTTTGACTGTTTTGAAGTACGCTCGAGCGGTTTAGTCTGCGCTCGAGCGGATTAACCCACGCTCGAGCGGGACCCCTATTTTCTGAAAATGCTTTTAAAGTGCATCTTTGCATCCTCATTGCATCCTAGGCATTCTTAAGCCTAGTTTAAGGCATCTTAATGAGGATATAGATGTAGAACAACACCGAGTCAAGATAGGAATTAAGTTATTATCTTTCCCAATTGTGTAGCTTAGTGTGTGTTCAATCTGTAAACTGTGTAGGGTTGGTGACTGGGGACGCGCTCTAGCCTAACTGTAGCCCAAAACTCTGTGAGTAACAATTGTGTAAAGATATGTTCAAAAATGATTATCTTTTGAACAATTGAACTGTACTGTTTCTGAATCAATACTGTTAATAGAACGAATGTATGTCCCCTATTCTGAACTATATTGTGGCATCCTTAGTAACTACTGTTACTGACTGTTACTGTTACAGAGATCTCTGTCAGTTCCCTTGTTGGAACCACTACTGTTTACTGATTGATGGCCATCATTGACTGTTCGGTCTTTCTAGACCTACTGTTTACTGTACTGTTATGCTAATGGATGTACCACATATGACTATACTGACTGAACGACTGAAATACTGATTTAATGAACTGATTTCATTACTGTAAGGACATTCATTCTAAACCTCTTTATGCATTATGTTATTCACTGGGCTTTAGCTCACTGCTCATATATATATGTAGGTGTACAGGCACCAGACCGCGGCTAGTAGCGTTGGGGTAAGCTCCAGTTTTGTCAAGCCAACCACTGTGCCTCACTGCGAGGTTTCGAGCATGTCAAGCTATGGCTTAGGGGTGTTTTAATTTTCCCCGTCTGTCTCTGTAACTGTTTTGTAGACTGTATAGACTGTTACTGTACTGTTTCATAGGGATTAGGTCCCTGGTTGGGATGATTATAAATGTTGTACATACTGTTCTGCACTGTATATATATATATATATATATGAAAAGTCTTTTTGGCATGCAGAATGTCACAGCTCATTGGACATTATTTATTTACTGTATTGGCTTCCGCTAGGCCCCTGTACTCTGTTTTACTGTCTTACTATTAAGCAGGCCTTCGGTAATCTCGGATTACTGGCCGGTTACGGTGTTAAACCCATAGGGGCGGATTTGGGTCGTAACAGAGTGGTATCAGAGCGATACTTACCACGAGTTATACCACACACACGTGTTCAAATGAGCTATAAGACGTCCTAGAAAAGCGATTAGGGCATTACATGAGCATGATAAGTGTGTGGCTATGACATGATTGAATATATGCTAACGTGCTAATCTGTTTAATCAAATGACTGCCTATGTTGATGACTGTTATAACTGCCTATAGTGAAATGGATAATGCAAGAACTGCAAATGAATCTAAATCCTCATCTTCTGAGGCAAGGATGACAAGATTGGAAAGAATGATGGAACTAATAACTGAAAGACTAGATCAACAACAGAATCAACAGCCCCCACCTCCTCCTCTAGTACAGCCGGAACAAAAATGTGAATGTTAATGATGGGGACATAATTGCACTGACACATAAGTTCAGCAAGATGAAACCGCCGTCCTTTTAGGGAGGCCTTGAACCGTTAAAAGCTTAAGCATGGGTTCTTGAGACTGAAAAGTTATTTGAAGTGTTTCCGTGCTTTGAAGCACATAAAGTACTGTTAGCTACCTTTACCTTGCAAGAAGAGACCAGAAAGTGGTGGATGCTTATCCGCGATGACAACACTGTAATGACTTGGGCTCAATTCAAAGGAGCCTTCTTTGAAAAGTACTTCCCTCAGTGTGTCAGGGACAGAAAAGTAACTGAATTTGAACAGCTGAGACAGGGCACAATGTCCGTTGCTGAATATGAAACAAAGTTCACCGAGCTTGCTAGATATGCACCATACATGGTGGACACTGATTATAAGAAGGCCAAAAAGTTTGAAGGCGGCCTTAATGTTGTAATACTCGACAGAATAAATGTTCTGAAATTACCGAATTATGTAAATGTTCTTGACCGAGCTTTGATAGCTGAATCGAACATCGAGGCACTGAAAACTGAAACACCAGCGTCTGAATGGCGTGGTCAAAGGCAGGGTTTCAAATTCAAGAAAGGCAAGCATAACCCATTGAATAAGAAACAGAATACGGGGTCAACAACTAGCCCTAGCCAAGGGAGTGGTTTCATACCACCCTGTTCTGAGTGTGGCAAGAAGCACAAAGGGGTCTGTTACAAAATATCTGGAGCCTGTTACAGGTGTGGCAAGGTGGGCCACATGGTTAAAGACTGCCCCTCTGCTCCACAAGCCAATAGTAAAGCTGCATCAAGCGTGGCAGCATCAACTGTTGCACCAAAACTGAACCCCAAAGCTACCGGGAAAGAGCCCATGAGGCAGGGTCGAGTGTTCGCCCTAGTACCGGGAGACGTATAGAATACCGAGACCGTTGTGTCAGGTATTCTCTTTATTTGTACTCAAAATGCTTATGTACTGATTGATTCGGGATCTACGCATTCATACGTGTCGCATGCTTTTTCGCGAAAACTGAATAGACCATTAGAACCCATGAATTATCTGTTAGCTGTATCATCACCCGTTGGGAGATCCATGACTTGTGCATATATGTACCCTGCTAGTGA